GATCCCGTTGCCTACTGCAAGTCTGACTTTGTGGTTTTTATCACTGAGTTTCTGTTTGAAGAGAAAAGAAGAGCGTGCGTTTGTTAGTTTTCTAAACCTTTCTGTGTGAGACAGTAGTATTAATGTTGGTGCTGTGTTGGCACAAACCTGTGGAGTGTTGCAGAGATAACGCATAATTTCACCTATGTACTGTATGACGGTGACATTATATTTTCTGCAGTCGTCCCAGAACTGGGAAGCAGAAAACTTACTCCTCAGAACAACAGGAATACCTGCACACAACAATAGATGACAACAGCACACTTTAAAGAGTAGCAGTGGAAGTAGTCAAAATTTTGGGTTTTTCAACAAATATGTAACTATATGTTACATATATGTAACTATATGTTACATATATGTAACTATGGCTTTTATATTACATTGGTTTAAAAAAAACAACAACAACAACAACTAAAGTCATACACCAATCATATATCTAAAAAACACAATAGTATATATAGACACACAACAATAGATGACAACAGCACACTTTAAAGAGTAGCAGTGGAAGTAGTCAAAAGTTTTACTTTATCACCAAAGTCGACCTCACACTGGAGCGGTTCACAGCTGAGTGACAAACAGCAGAAAAGGGTGGAGGGCCCAATCCGGGTCAGAGAATTGTTGCCCCAAGTCGAGAAGTATCTTGGGGTCTTGTTCATGAGTGAGGGGAAAGGGGAGTGGGAGTCCTGTGGTGTGGGGTGTGGCTAAGCAGCAGGGGAGGGTTGACGCAGTGGGCTCAGGGAGCAGTGGTAGGGAAGGCTGTTTGGAACAGCTGACAGACATGTGTTGATTCTGTCTCTTTATTTTATGCAGAGGTCCAGGGTGTGCAGCAGAAGAGAAGTTGACAGCCAGGAGCTGTTGCCATATACCAGAGTTTCGCAGGCAACAGCACAAGCGTGTGTGAAATTATCAATTAAGAGTTATCCTTAATTTGAAACATTGCATCCTATGTGTGTGTTGGGAAACCAGAACATGTTACAAGAAAACCGATGATTGAGGTCACAGCTGCAGTGTTGCAGATTGTCATCCAGCATGTCTCTGACTCTGGTTACCTGATCGACCTGCAAGAGCTGTCATCTCTGGTTTTTGGACTTGTTTATTTTGATCTCAATCAAATAGTGTGCGTTTTGGATGTGGTGGAACAAATCTGCACCAACTGTGTGATGCATTCATGTCAATATCGACCAATATCTCTGAAGAATGTTTCTAGTACCTTGTTGAATCCATGCCACAGAGAATATTGCCAGACAAAGGCATTTAACACCGTACCACGAAGATCTGCTTTATATAGTAACAAGTGTACGTTTTTTTGTTTTTTTTTTTTTAAACAGACCCAAAGAAATTCAATATTTAGTGATGTTTGAGTCAACTGTTCTCTTAGAAATCTGTTTTTAAAAAGTGACTAAATGACTTAATGAGTTGTGGATTGATTGTTGGGCACAAGGCAGGGAGAACTTGGAATTGCATCTGGAGATTTTGATCTCAGCCTAAACATTGGGTTTGTTGATAAGAAAACTAAAGATTTACACAGTTAACTATAGTATATATCCAAAGAGTTCATACCTCTTTCAACAGCTCCAGTGAAGACAAGGAGGCCAGTACTGTGATAAAGCGGGAGGGTATCATAAATCACATCTTTGGAGTTCACTCCTGTTGTAGCCAGAAGTAAAGACAAGTTCCACACTCTGGTGTAAGTGACCACAGCTGCCTTAGGGAAACCTGTTAAAGACACGCCAGATGCTCAGGGGGTCAATGTGCCATTTCGTTCACTGATGCATCGTGAATCTCAGTAAGTAGTTTAACCTGTTGTCCCTGAGGTGTATATGTAGGCTGCTGGACTCTGCATGGTTACATGGGACCTTAACTCCTTGGGTATAGGCTCAGAGGAAGCCTGATTCATTTTATCAATGAAGCTTTCCACACCTGCAGTTTCACACCTGTCAGCTAAGATGAAAATAGTGATCTGCTGTTCATGCAGATGGGGCAGCACCTCCTTCACTGCATCCAGCAAGTCTAGAGAAGAAAAAAAGAGAGAAAGAAAACACAACAAACCTTACAAAAGATGTTCCTGTATTTTAACAAAGCTCAGTTCAATCTTCCTCTGCAGCTTTACTGCTCATGAGTGATGATGAACGATGTGCTTGAATCCTTTAGGTAAAGGGAGACAAACAAATACTGGAGCACAAATAAAACCTGTGTATTTGAAATATTTGGTAAAAGGTCTTTGCAACAAGACCACTTTAAAAAAAAAAAGAAAAAAAAAGTTAAGCATACAATCTACATGGATGTACATTACCCCACCCCACTTCTTCCACACAAACAAGATGCACGAGCACCTAATGAAGGTAGGTTAGGGCCGGGTTGTGTGTAGAGATTTGATTGGGCAGTGACAGTAAAGAAAAATGAACAAATGGGTTTTTGACATGGCTTGTACAGCTGGTGGACAGCAGCCCCTCAATTGACCCACCGGGAATATGCCCAGTGCGCCAGATTACCAGTCCAGCCCTGGTCTCCCATATTGATGTGAAGGAATTTTGGCTGCCTCCGCTTTACAGGGTTTCTTCCGATCTTTGCCTGCATTCATTGATGCGCAGCTCTCTCAAAGCCCCACCACTGCTTTTCAGTTGGGTTGGGCTCTGGACTTTGACTGGGCCATTGCAACAGTGTGATTTTTCTTCCCCTTTTTCAGCCAGTCTGTTGTAGATGGTTAACCTTTTTGGCCAATCTTTTAGCTGTTTTTGCCAATTTTACTTTTGTTTTTCCACTGTTAACTCCTGGTAGATTCAGTTATTGTGTTAACACATCTGAATGCTCCAGACCAGCAAACAGAGCTTCTGCTTTTACAGGTGCGCTCACACTTGTTGCCGATTAATTAATCTAGTGCATTTGATGCACCTGGCTGCCAGGTCAAAGGACTGTATAGAGTGGAAATTATTTTTCACATGACCATATGTCCCATTTAAGATATCCAATTTAAATCAAACAATCTCCCAATGAAACCCTAAAGCCACATATAATATATAAACTACGGTTCTATTAATACTGTAAATATTTTGCATCCTCTTCAGCCATTTAGTTACTGATTGATTTATGCTGGAGAATCTTTATTTTTATTTTTTAATTCTTTGTTTCCCACTGTGACAGTTTAAGTCAGTAAATCTTTAGAGAGGCATGTTCCTTTCTTGGAACTCCCTTGATGTTTTGTCACTAACAATATATGTGCTAAATGAAAGGGCAGTTTAAACTAGAAAGCGAAAATTTCAGAAGAAATTTTAAGTGTGCCTATGCCGCTGC